TTTTTTCTTGCTTACGCACATTCCTAGTTTTGTCCGTACGCCATGTTTTAGTGCGAATTCTACGCACGTCGTTATACATGAGGCCCCAGGTGTTTCAGGTCATTCAACATCATACACCCTCCTCCAGGTGATCTGGCTGGGGCTGATCAGACCCCAGCTTGTGTCCCAGTGGCTAAATGGCTACTCTTCCCCCAGGACTCCTCTCTCTTGAACCACAGTCATCTTGAGGCTTTCTCTGCCGCATCGATGGTGTTGTGACGTCTCTTCCTCTCACCTTCAATGCCCGACCAACTGAAGACTTTAGTTAAAGATCGGGCTATAAAGCACCTGCAGCCGACCTCGACTTTGCTCTCCATCCACCTTGGTCCCAAATACCAGCTGAGGTTCTTGCTGCAGATCTTCATTGCTCCCCTGCTCTAGTGAAGGTGATGGCCAGCCTGTAAGGCCGGGAATGTTTAGGCCATTCTGCTCCTGAGCTGATGCCTTCACAATGGCCTTCAGGAGCTGGTCACGCCTCCAACAGCAGCGCCCCTCACTCACTTCCTTTGGGCAGCATCTTAGGATGTGCTGCAGGGTTCCTTGCATGGAGCACAGAGGACAGGCTGGTGTCTCTGCCTTTCTCCATTTGTGTAGTTTGGATTGGCTGGGGAGCATCATAAACAGCCTGGATGAGGAATTTGATGCTGTGTGGGTCAGCTTTCCACAGCTTAGCCCAGGTCACCTTCCTCTTTACTTCATTTTACAATCTTCGCTAAGCCCCCTGTTGCCTCATTCCCACCATCCCACACAATGTCTCCTCTTCCACTGCTGCTCTCACTTCCCTGCTGGACCAGGAAGTTTTCCTCCTCCCATTTGGTGATTAAGGTGGGATGTTGAGAAGGATCCTAGTCCAGCTCGTCCTTGCATCACCACTCCTACCATTATCTTGTGATGCAGCCTTGACTCGGCTTGCAAAACAGCTTCCTCCGCCCTCCAGTTCCTGCCAGTCCTCACCATTATCCCAGCTCTGACGACCTTCAGATCACTCGACCCTCTGCACCACACGTCTCTTAGCTCTTGTGACCTTGAAGTCCTCCTCCAAGCACTTGAGTATCAGTCACAGGTTGTTTTTTTTTTTTCCTTACACCATGAGATGACATACCCTGGTTAATATGTCACCCATGAGTTAGAATGCTAGGCTCAAGGACACTTGCACTGTGCAGGTGGAGGCCTCAGAGTTTCCTGTAGTAACAAGGACCTTGATTCAGATGCAGGCAAACAGTCATTTATTGCAAGGAGCCTTTGAGCACGGTTAGGCTATGGGACGGAGTGACCTGACATAATATTATCACGCTGATAACTGGTTTAGTTAAAACATTGATTCTTCTGTGTGGCAAAATAACCAACTTTCCAATAAATGAATCGCACAAAATAGGCAGCTGTGAAACTGACAGGAAGCGTATGCCTTGGGGATGCCTGATCGAAGTGCAGGGGGGCAGCGGTAAATCTTACTGATCAGGCTGGGGGCAGGAGTGCTGTTTGTAAAATCACTGACTGGGGGAAGTGGGGTATCACCCCTGTGGATTAATTTGCCAAATTTAAGTTTATCTATTTCCTCTATTGCCATGGCCCTAGGATGTAGTCTAGGATAGCCAATGCCTTACGTCACTGCTGAGGCTAAGGTTAGTCTTGAATTTTTGAATACGCCTATTTAATTGTGTTCTCTCTATGTCTGTTCACTATGTGTCCACCACTCTAATGGGATAGTATCATAGACACCGGAGATGTAATGTTAGTCTTGTATATTTGTGTCATTTTCTTCCTCTGTTAGGCTACTTCGTGCCAGTTCACTTGGCAGTGAAACACCACTGTGCAGTACCCCACCAGTGTGAAAAGAAAGCTGGATTGCGCAAAGTCTCAAAGTAGGAATAGTCCATTACAGGTGGAACGGGGGGAAACTATGTCTATCCTGTTTTGATGACCATAGAGAGTCATACTGCTCAGGCTCCTTGGGAGACCTAGCCATCTCCAGAGGTGGCTGCTGACTTTCCTCACCAATGTCTCTACTGTTGTGATTGGCGCTTCATAAACCAGGAATGGCCACAGAACTCTTGGAGGAATACCATGCTGGTACAGCCCTGCTTTAAATTACCCCAGTAGGCCAGACCGGTTCACTGACCTCAGCCAGCCATCCAACTCAGTGCAGGTGGACTTGATGGCTGCTGTATCCTGCTGTGAAGGATCCAGTGACATCCTAGGACTCACTTTGAGGTTACTGTTATGTCATTCATAAATGCTCTGATGTGTGGCTGGCATTGGGCAGTTTCTGTTTTTTGTACTCTGGTTCAGCAAATTTTGTGAGCATGTTCATGGCAACAGAGAACAGGATCACAGAGATAATGCAGCCTGTGAGGATCCTGATCTCAGCCTTATTCCAGCCTGATATAACAGCTCCCGAGGAGGCTCTCACCCAGACACTGCTGCTGTAATCCACAATGAGATCTCTGACTACAGGGGACATGATGTTCCATCAAAGGCAGCTGCACCGGCTTGTGTGGAATTGAGCCATATGCATTTTCCAGGTCGCGCCACAGGACAGACAGATTGCCTTTGTTCTCCCAGCCTCCCTGATCAGCTGTGTCACCATTAGTGATGCACAGATCGGCTCTGACTCCATCCGAATCCTGATGTACACATAAATAATCCACCCGCCACCCACCAGAACTAATTATTTTCTCTGATTTAGAGACCCACACCCAATCACACATTATAAGTATTTCTCAGTGGGATATAAACATGATGATCTGGTAACATATTACACTGAATAAGGTTGGCTTTAAATAAACGTTTATTTATAAAGTAAAAGTTCTTCTCTTGGGGTTATCTCTTCAAAATTAAATTCTTCATGTCATTACAGCTTTCCAAATAGAAAACAATTAGGAATACTAATACCAAGTAACATATACCATACCCAGCCGTTGACTCATCATTCTTCAGAGAATCACGCAATGCTGAGAATGATCCATGTCTAATTGTGGTTAATTCTAAAATCCTGTTTTTTTTACAATTTCTTTGCAAACACTTGTATTTATAAACAGTGACAACCGCATGTAATATTAAGTGTAGGAAATAGAATAGGAAATGTGGAAATATGTAAACATACGTGTAAAGAATTTCCGATATGGAGCCATATTAATCAACACCAGGATGTACAGCAGACTGATGGCAGTACCAGTAACAGCCTCTTCTCTGGATCCTGGGAAACAGTTAACATTACGTTTTATTTATTTAGCAGAGTCAGAAAATACCTGAAGTAATTGATCGTTAAAGTGCTTACTCAAGGGCTCAGGTGTAAAATCACTGTCTGTCATACCCCACATCCCTTCTCCCTTATTGTCTCTGTTGTTTACTTGTTGATCTTACTTGTTTAATCTTGCCTCTCGTTACAGCCCCCGTGTGGATCACCCCAGATGCCTCTCGTCTGCTCCCTCATCAGTGATGAATATAATGCCTCCTTGTCTTGAGTTCCCCAGTCCAGTCATTGATGTCGCTGCCTACATGTGCTCTCCAGTTTGACCTGTGCTCTCACCTGATCCTCACGACCCTGTTTTGAGCCCTCGTGGTTTGGTTTCTTTTTGCCCTGCCTGTAATTTCATTTAATAAAACCGACTTTGGCTTTCCCCATGCCTGCCTTCGCTTCCATCTAGATACCGTGCCCATGGTGTGATACTGTCGAATTTGGGATTTGAATAAATGACCCTCCAAACACAGACAAAGCACCCTAACCTGCCGAGCTGCACACCATTCTGGGGAGATGCAGAAAAAATTTAGAGAATTCTTACAGTATTTATGTAGGTAGCCATAGAATTGCTCCCTGTTTTTCTAACTCCTCTTTCTTCTACTCTGCTGAACTTTGCATTGAATTTTATGTTACCTGTCACTTCATTACTGACTGCTAACTTCTAAAATTCTATTATTAGTCACCAGTAGCCTCTGCTATTTTAAATAGTAACTATATATTTCAACATCAGTGTGCTTCTTGGAGAAAAGCAGGTGCTCATTCTGAGCAAACACAAAATAATTCTCAATAAAATAATCTTTTAGGAAATACATATCAAACTAGAAATTAGTTAATTTATGAAGGAAATGTATTCACCTTCAAAGTGAATCACCACAGTATAGATTACAAATACTAAGAACATAAGAACTATACAAACGAGAGGAGGCCATTCGGCCCATCGAGCTCGCTTGGGGAGAACTTAACTAATAGCTCAGAGTTGTTAAAATCTTATCTAGCTCTGATTTAAAGGAACCCAAGGATTCAGCTTGCACTACGTTATCAGGAAGACTATTCCATACTCTGACTACACGCTGTGTAAAGAAGTGCTTCCTTAAATCCAGTTTGAAATGTTCTCCCGCTAATTTCCACCTATGGCCACGAGTTTTTGTATTTGAACTAATGCTGAAGTAACTATTCGGTTGAACAGCATCCAAACCTGTTAGAATCTTATAGACCTGGATCATGTCCCCCCTCAGTCTCCTTTGCTTGAGGCTGAACAGATTTAGCTCAACTAACCTTTCCTCGTATGACATTCCTCTAAGACCAGGAATCATTCTTGTGGCCCTACGCTGCACCTTTTCTAAGACCGCAATGTCCTTTTTAAGATATGGTGACCAAACCTGCACACAATATTCTAGGTGAGGTCTCACCAAGGAATTGTATAATCTTAGCATTACCTCCCTTGACTTAAACTCCACACACCTGGAGATATACCCCAACATCCTATTGGCCTTTTTTATTGCTTCTCCGCACTGGCGAGAATGAGACATGGAAGCATCAACATACACACCAAGGTCTTTCTCATAATCAGCTACCTTTATTTCAGTAGGTCCCATAAAATACTTGTACTTTATATTTCTGCTCCCTACATGGAGTACCTTACATTTGTCTATGTTAAATTTCATCTGCCAGGTATCGGCCCAGTCACTAATTAAATCAAGATTCCGCTGTAACTGCTGAGCCGCTAGTTCAGTATCTAAGTATCAGCCTCAAATTACAGAGTCACTAATTCATATAATTAATCCCCAGCAGGTTGCTGTTTATGCTGCTACTGTTTATTTCTTATTGCCTGCACAACAAAAACAATGTAATCTGTCTCTTTGTAAAGCTTCTTTAAACCATATTCAATGGGCTCACCTTCAGTTACACCCCACAGGATGAATGCTGCGGAAACCATGACTGGTGGAACTATGACATGTGAGCAGTGACTCAACAGAGCCTGTCTGCTTTCACCTGTAGACAGAAAGTAGAACCAAAATATAAACTACATACTCTTTAGCATTAGACGATGGTTCATGCAAAGTTTAATGATCTACAGCCATCCTCAGATGGTCATTCTGCTGCATGCTCACCTACAGACACCCAGGATAGACTGTCCGTCTCACCAGATGCAGCTCCTGCATTATTTTTAGTATAATTTCAGTGAGGACATCAGCTTTGGTTCATTCTTTTGGTTTGCAGGGGTTTATAGTAATAAAACTTTCTGAAATTATTCATATTCACATATATGTGTTTGTTACCAGAGACTCAGTATCAAAGTGTGTTAATTATATCACAGTTAAGCCCTGCAATGGACAGGCACCCTGTGTAGATACAGTCCTGCCTGATGCCCCATGTCTGCTGAGATGCCCTCTACAGGATAAGTGGCTGCAAACATGGATCCACTGATGTCATCATAATTACTAGAAATGACAGAGCAGATGCTACACTTACCTCCACTTCTTAAATGGCTGACAGATAAAGCACCAGTAAGTAGGACTACAGGTGTGACAGCGATGCACAGCCCCAGAATTAGCCAATGCAGGGAGGAATAACCTAAAATATTCATAATTACATTCCATTAGTCATTTTCTAAAATATGCTGTTTGTCTTGCTGCAGCATAATCAACACGTCCACACCATTTAGTCACACAAAGTGGAACAGAAAGTTATGATTAAATCTTTGTCCATGGGTGTGTGATTCCTAACTATTGTTCAGCCTGAAAACATACAGATTTAATATATGAGATTTTTCATGTTCCCAATTACGATTTGGATATATTTACGCAACATGTCACAAGGGGCTGTTTAACTGTACAGTGGTGCCTTGACTTACGAGTTTAATTCGTTCCGTGATGGAGCTCGTAACTCAAATTACTCGTATGTCAAATCAATTTTCCCCTTTGAAATGAATTGAAATGCCATTAAACAGTTCCGGACCACAGCTTTTTTTTGTTACATGTCTTTAAATAAGAAAGATGTGCTTATAAATAATGAGTATTGTATAAAATCACAATACAATACAATATACTGCATTAAATTAGTTTTATCAAGTATAATGTACAGCATTTGCCTTGGAGATCAGATGATTTGAAGATGTTGACAAATGTGGAGGAGAAACTGAATAATTGAATTTTATTCGCTGATTTTTGCCTGTTTCGCCACGCTTTCCTCACTTTCATCTGCAGGGGTTTTTGATAAAAATATGTCCACTGTGAGCTAACCGCTTAAAGTGAATGAGTGAGACACGGGATGCTGGGGGTATGTTGCGGCGTTCACTGCGCCAACTAGTGGTGGGGTATCTGAAGCTGGCTTGTAACCCGAATTTTAGCTCTGACCTCAAAGCAGAAAATCAGCCAAGAGACGGCTCATATCTCGAAAAACTCGTTAGTTGGGACACTCGTAAGTCAAGGTACCACTGTATTACCCAGTCACACAATGTTATGTACAATTAATAAAAATACAATGTTATTACTGCAGTTTTGTTCCCAGTCTCACTATCGTGGTCTCTGTAGCTCCTAAATGAATATTAATAATAAAACCATAATTACACAATACATGTATCACTCTAATAAAATACCTTTTATGACAGAACTGAAAACTGCACTAAAGGTGAAGACTGAAAGAAATATTCATTCATTCATTTAATGCATTTTCTGTCTTTAAAAGTGAACTAAATTTGACCATTTATACTATTACACAGAGCAGATTAAACCCTACGGTATGTGCAAAAAGGTCAGTCTGCAGCAAAGCCACTGACCCTTAGTGGAACGAATATGTGATTTAATCACCCATAACTATGTTGAGATGCATGTTAAAACCAGTCCTTCTAGTGACTCACCCAGTGCTGCTATCCTGGCAGTAGTACTGGTAGAATCAGTATCTGAGTGGACTTCACACCTGAACTCTGCTTTGTCTTCAGTCCTGACTTTCCTCAGTTTCATTGAGAAGTTTCCTTTGGGAATTTCCTCTGTGAAGAATTCAGCTCTTCCAGAGTATCTCCCATCCTGTGACTCTGGTCTGTTCTCTCCATCAGCGAACAGAAGCACTAAGATGTCACCGTCATCATCTGTCTTTATCCATTTCACCTGAAGCTCTGTCACATTAACATGGGTGTCCAGAGAGCAGCTGAGAGTCACATCCTCTCCAGCATGTGCATAGACAGGCTCATCTGCACCCGTCACCACCAGCCGCTCTGGAACAAGAACAGGCAACCTTCACACAACCTGGCAACCTGTCACCTCAGTGTTTTCCTCTCCTATTCTGAGATGAAACTTAGGTATGTGTGATTGTTTCCATTTCAACATACATGACTTTTTAAATTATGACACTTTTGACATACGTGACTCAGAAGAAGAATTAAGTGATACGCCAAGTCCCAAAAACCTGAAAAGTACAGTTTGGTAACTGTCTGGATTTCATCAGCAGTAGCATTGATTTGGAAAATCAAAATACCATATACTGCAGAATCATGTATGAACAGTATGATGGTATGAAAAATTATATACCGTCCAATCCTATTTAGACGTATCCTAAACCAAAGGAAGTATATTATTGTATGTCATCGGTTATGTTTTAAGCTATTTTGTGCAGCTAAACCTATGCCAGCTGTCTAATGTCGTTATTTTGATATTTTAATTTCAAGCCTCGATTTAAACACCTTTTTGTTGTTGCTGCAGGCATTTCAGTCCTGAAGGTAACTAAATAATTAAAAAAGTGTTTGTTATATATTATTGCCTCCTTGTCATTTTCCTCACTTTAAACAGCAGCAGGCCAATGCTGCAGCTTTCATCTTCCACAGTCTGTTGCACACAACTGGCATCGTCTTCTGCATGATGATGGGCTGGGTCTGCATAGGGATGTGAATCCCCATCACTGAGGCGATGCCATGCACATCTCAATGCATTGGCAATTATCCGATATATTAAAGATGCATATGAAGCAACTACTATTGCAATACCATATGATTCACCCCAATTGTGATACAGTGCAATTCAACACAATAGAATAGAATAGAATAGAATAGAATAAACCTTTATTATCCCATGAATGAGAAATTTAGGTGTTACAGAGCTCTTATACAAAAGTAATGTAGAACAACAAGAGCAGGTAGGTCAGTTGTCTATACACACAACCAAAGTTTTAGAAATAAATAAAGATGTAATAAATAAAGTTGTACAGAGATATGTACACAAGTGTGGGGGTGGGGTGGGGTGTGAATGATCCTGGTGAATATACAATGTACACTCAAGCTGCAAATCAGTAACAGCAGTTAAAGACATATGATATGTCCGTTAGACAGTATATGAGTAGAAAATACTCACGCTAAAACTGTGTTATAAAGTCTGAATAGGATGCAGTGCATCGCTGGCCACGCGTCCAACTCACACAAGACCTGGCCAAGAGACTCATAGAGAATTGGCCACCGACAGCAGCGGCGAACAGGAGGTGAGAGAGTGTCACGTCCCATCAGGGAAGCACAACCCAAAAAGCAGGCTGTGGTGTGGGCAAACCTTCACAGGGGACGTTATTAAACAGGGGTCTGGGAGCAGTGACAGGTAACAATGACCAAACTGGGGAACTGGGGAGCACTTAGAGACAGGACTGACGAAGGGGCAGAATAGAGCCAGCTGTGAAACAGTAACATGAGGGCAGGAATCGGAGGCAAGATAAATCTTTGGTCACATTTTCTAATTAATAAAGGAGTAGGGTCTCTACTAATAATGATATATTAATGTAACCCTGACTGTGCGCTGCTTCCTGCTTAATGACTCCAGTGGACAGGGCAGGCCAGGCCCGGGACCCTCCCCTCGTGGCACTCTGTGTTGTGTTTTGGTATGTTGGTCATGTGATGTGACGTGGCGTGATGAGGGAGGTGCAGACCCAGCTGCAGCATAGCGGCAGTAACCATGGTGACAGTCTGACTTCAGGTGTTCTGATCCAATGGGGAGTGCAGTATGATGGCAAAGGTGGGTGATGGTGACTACAGTCTAGAGGTGAATATGACTTAATTACACTGAAAAAAATGTTTTTTTGGCCCTGTAATTATTATTTCAATTATCTATATAAATTCTACAAAAAAATACCAATTCAGTGCTATTACTTTAAAATAGCAGTTTTTCATGTAGTGCATTACTTGGTGATTGTTTGTAATTATGTGTCCTCAGTTTTGTATGTAAATTGAATCATTCGATCCAAGTAATATTCACTAAACCAGTTCATTGGCTTAATTAGTTGATATTTCCAAGTAAAATGTAATGGAGTGACATCAGTGA